CTTCCCCAAATGTAAAGTATCAAATTAGAAAGTTACCTGACTGATTCCATACATCTATTGAAATCCCTTGAATTGAATGAACACCCATTTATGTGTAATAATCATTCCTAACTTGTGAAATATTTTGGCGTGAAGATTGATTCCTTGATGCGTGGGGGCATTTTTTCCTTAATTCCTTACATGAACAACAGTAAAATGAATGTTGAAAAATTGCTTTGATGAAGAATATAAAATAAACCTAGGGGATTCACAATGAAATATTACACGATTGTATTAATTTCTTGTTTTGTATCAGGGAAAAAACTGTTAATAGAACTATTTCAAGAAATCCAGTTACTCATATTCAATCCCAGTTAAAGATTGCATTTCTGTACCAAAGCTTTTAATGATTCGAATCTCTTGAGAAGTAAGATTCGATTGATTCAAATGGTTTAATCTGTCCTTGGCCTTCTCTATTTGAAGATCAATTGTCCTTTGATTTTCTTCTGCTAGGATCATAATCTGTTCAATATTTGATTTAATCTCCTCCAACTGGTGTTTATGTGTGTCCTCAAAAGATGATGACAGAATAGATGTTAAATAGTGATCTTTAAAATCTTTGGGTTGCTGCCTTGCACTAATCTTGTTTTGAAGAAGTTGTAAGTTCTCAATAACTTTCTTCCATAAAAACTGTAAGAATCTATTGTTGATATTTTTGAAATAGAAACAATTCTCAGCTGCAGGATATTTGAGAGTAGTGAGGTCTGTCAACAAGTTGTAAAATTGAAAAACAGAAAAGTAATACAAATCGAAGCAGAGAGTATTGCTTCCACTAACAGGCATCGATTCTGAAGAGTGGGAAATGTGTGAAAAGGACTGTGTTTCAAAAACAAGATGGAAATTATGAATACAGACTAACAAAGCATTCAACAACTCATTTCTATCCATTTCTAACTTATTCTTGACAACAAGTTGACAAACTAATGCCAGTTTGTGAGCTTTGGTTTGGAAAGAATCAATTGAAAGGAATGTACTGTTGATGGTTTTGTACAAACTTAACATCTGCTGGTTTGAGTCGTTAGAGTTTCCAATTCGTAATAAATCCTCAAGGAAATTTTGTGATTTGAACTCTTTTCGTGATACACATTTTAAATCTTCACCAAACTTGAAAGAAGATGAAGGAATAATATCTGGTCTTAGGTTTCTTGTAATATTACTATACAGTATTTCACAAAAAGTGTCAGAAGAGAACAACAATGACCCCAAATTTGAAGTTGATATCCTTCTAGAAAGAAACTCTACAAGTTGGGATAACAGTGGAGAAAATGTCTGTTTGAATTTTACAATGAATGAATTTCCTATCTGTAACATGAGAGTTTCAGCTCCCAGAGGATCAACTACATTTGCAAAGCTGGAAAGTATGAAAGCATCTCCAAGCAATTCTAAACAAGGTTGTTTCTTATAGATATTAAAGAGAATCATGGCCATGCAAGTAAGATCACTCGGTTCTAGCTTTTCTGAGTTATAGAGTATCAAGTCACAATGTTCAATGCATTGTTCAACTTGATCAAGGGATGGTTTATCAATATAGTTAAATGCAAGTAAAACCATGAGAGCAGATGTTCTCTCAAAATTCTCAAAAGAAACTTTTACGGAATCCATTCTTTCTAATAGA